TTGGAGGTTGGGAGAACGGTTCTTCCGTTCTTCTGCCTTTTAAGAATTGTGTGAGATAATAGGAACAGTTTTGGAGATTAGGAAAAGACAGTATTTTATTTCATTTCCCCCCCGTCAATTTTCTTGTCTGGTCTTCCATGGATATTCTTCTGTCAAGTGCCAGATCCTTAGTAGTTATCGTCCACCTCCACTTCGAAACCACATATGGGGTTCCAAAGTGACGGCCTTTACTTCTGGGTTTTCTTTCACTTTCTTTGATCTGATGTTCAAAACATCCAGTACCATTGATTCCCCGAAATCCAAGTTGTGGGTGTCTTTGATTCAACTCTGGTAGAGGCTTCTGAAGTTGATGCCTTTTGTTTCTTGTAGCAGATCTCGTCATTCCGAGAGAGCAAGTCCGATGACCGGAGATTTTACATATTTACAGCGACGAAGACGCTTCACTTGAGAACTGATTCGAAGAGGGACAGGGCAGCTTGGATCCAAGCTTTGGTCTCTGCTAGGAATCTTTTCCCATCGAGGTCACTCAAAGATGGCCTCTCACACAGGGTGCCAAAGGATTTGTCTGTCTCGACTGAGAAGCTAAAGAGGCGGTTGACTGAAGAAGGGATCAATGACAGCCTCGTTAATGACTGTGAGCAGATCATGCTAACGGAATTCTCCGAGTTACAAGCTCAGCTTAAAGTTGTATGCGAAGAACGGAACAGTTTGGTAGACACTCTAAGGCAACTGGAGGTAAGTCGTTTACTCATCATCTCACTATTGGCATTGCCGAATTTCAGCTAGGTTTTCCTTATGAGCTTGTGGACTAGTGGGGACTTGGCTTAAGATCTTACCATTGAGATCTTCAACAGGTTCTGAAGGGGGATTTTATTAATTTGCTCGTCTTGTACTCTCTTATCACTTGCACAGAAACTTACGCCACCTTGACTGAGCTTAAAGTGACTTTCTTTCCTTCTGAAACGTGTTTGCTTTTCAAGATTGTTTCCTTTGCTCTTACTTCAAGAATGACATCATTCCAGTCCAATGGATAACCCAATCCTCATATGAACCTCACATTAGTAGATAATTTATGATACGATGGCTGTCTAGAATATATCTTGTTGCGGTGTTAGTATCGATTGTCTTCACCGGGTATCTTATTGGTCCTATAGATATCTCGGGTGACCATACCCACAAGATTTAGCGCTTTGTTCATTGGTTTTCTATTCAGCATTTGGAATTTACGTGGATTAGTCTTGAAAGCATTTCTTCGGCCTTTTGCAGGCTTCCAATATAGAAATTGAAGTCTCTGGAATTCAAGATGGTGACTATCAGTTGGCCAAGCATGATTTGTCAACTTTAGGACGTGGAAAATACAGTGGTAATTGACAAATATAAATTACTGCTTGTACTTGGTTTATGCACGAGGAAATTGGCTTTCCTTTGTATCTGGCTCTTTCGCATTCTCATATTTTCCCATGACTTGGTATTGCTTTTCCAGAATGTAGCACGACTGAATCATCTGATGATATCGAGAAGCAAGACCTGGAGGAAGTTTCGGACGAGGAGGAGCTCTCTTTTCACGACAGTAAAGATTGTTTCACCGATGGGTCTATAGTGCAAGTTCCAGATAGTCGCTTCGGGAAGGATAAAATATCCAATCAACTCGATAGTGAAGATTATAGAATGCACTCGGTATTTGATCCGGGATATCCGCACATCCAAAGGAGGCAAAAGCTTCCTACCCCAGTTGAAAAAGAGAAAGGGGTCAGCCTTTGGTCAATGATCAAGGACAATGTTGGCAAGGATCTCACCCGTGTTTGCCTCCCTGTTTACTTTAACGAACCAATATCGTCACTTCAGAAATGCTTTGAGGATTTGGAGTACTCTTATCTCTTGGACCAGGCCTATGAGTATGGAAGAGCGGTGAGATTTTTGGAAAAAGTTTATGCTTTTCATATTTGTGTTTTGTCCCATTATCTCTTATTATATTTGGGGTTTGGATGAAACAGGGCGACAGCCTGCTGAGGATTTTACATGTAGCTGCATTTGCCGTGTCTGGCTATGCTTCCTCTGAGGGGCGGCATTGCAAGCCTTTTAATCCTCTGCTAGGAGAAACATATGAAGCTGACTTTCCGGACAAGGGAGTTCGCTTCTTCTCCGAGAAGGTTGGTGATTCGTCATTCATTTGTGCATTTTGTTAATGATCATCACTGTCCATGCTTCATTTTTTCATTTAGATTTCTTTTTAAAATAAAAAAGAAAAAATTGTTTTGGGGTGAAGCTTTCCTATGGTACAATATGACCTTAGGCAGTGAATGACTTTATAATAGCGGATTAAATAGATGTTAAACCTTAATACAAAGGAATACGAGTGTGATATTTTGAGTTGAAACACAGGTTAGTCATCATCCAACTCTCATTGCCTGCCATTGTGAAGGTAGAGGGTGGAAATTTTGGGCAGACAGCGACTTGCACACCAAATTCTGGGGGCAGTCCATTCAACTTGATCCGGTTGGGGCTCTGACCCTCGAGTTTGATGATGGTGAAATATTCCAGTGGAGCAAGGTCTGACCTCTGGTTTCTTTTGATCGTCATTCACCTTTGTGTCAGCTCTTTTGTCTCATACTAGAAGCTTACAATCCTTGGTTGCATTGTTTTGCAGGTCACAACCGCAATTCGTAATCTCATTCTGGGCAAAGTGTATTGTGATCACCATGGGATGATGAATATAACGGGAAATCGCGACTATTCTTGCAAATTGAAGTTTAAAGAGCAATCAATCCTAGACAGAAATCCTCATCAGGTTAGAATATCTATCAATGAAGATAATTGCTGTGTGTTGCCTTATTTGACTGGAAAGATTGATTACTGGCTCATACTGATGACGGGTGCTCATCAACCCTACATAGGTTAATGGGTTTGTAGAAGACCTCTCTGGGAAAAAGGTGGCCACCGTGTTTGGGAAATGGGACGACAGCATGTACTATACTCTCGGTGATGGTCAATCAAAATCGAGGAACAACCCTTCGTCAAATGCTAACTTACTATGGAAGAGTACAAAGCCAGTTCCAAATCTCACTCGCTACAACTTAACATCGTTTGCCATAACCCTGAATGAATTGACACCAGGACTGAAGGTAAAGAGAATGACAGTAGTGTGTTGATGTTTGTAGTCTCTAGCCAGTAACTCCCATTTCCTCCCCTCTTGTATATGCATACCTCTAATTGTCATTTATATTAGCCTGTCTCTGATCTCGGGTTATTTGGTTACGGATTAATAACAGGAGAAACTCCCTCCAACAGATTCCAGGCTGAGACCAGACCAGAGGCATCTGGAGAACGGTGAGTACGACAAGGCCAACGTGGAGAAACAGCGGCTGGAGAAGAGGCAAAGAATGGTATTTCCTATGCTAACAAATAAGCCAACTCCTTCATCTAGTTTTAGTAGAAGCGAAAAACAGAAATGGTTTGGTATTTGATTGAGCTTTGAGTCAATTGATTTTTTACTTTGGAACTATCCCATGCAGTCGAGAAAGCTGCAAGAACATGGGTGGAAACCGAAGTGGTTCGAGCGAGAAGGCGAGAATGGACCTTTCCGGTACAAGGGTGGATACTGGGAAGCACGAGATAGCGGAAACTGGAACGAATGCCCGGACATATTCGGGGAGTTCGGTGACGAGCTCTCCGAATCCAAGTAAATTTTTTTCTGGACAACAAAGAATAATGTAGGTAATGCATTATTCTCAAGACTAGAGATCAACCCACCAGCAGGCAGCAGCAGCGGCTCACGCAGCTTACTGACCAGAATTCTGGTTGCAGGAAAGATTGGTAAACGAAGTTTTTCTTGATGAAGATTTTGGGGTGGGAGTAGTGAGATTGCAATGTATAATGTGCACTTCGGGGTAGGATAAGAGAAGTCACAAGAGCCCTTGAAAAATTTTCTGCTGTGAATGTGAGCCCTGGCCTGCTGCTGCTGCTGCTGCTAGTCTGTTAGCCATCCCAATTTGTTACAGCTTCATGTAAAAACTCCGGCGTACAAGAAGAAGCCAACCGGGCTGATATGATAATTTTATTTATTTACATATTTATTTGTACTTAGTTTGTCAGCAATAAAATGAAAAAAAAAAAGAGTAAAAAGGAAAGGTGATGGGATAATCCTTATTCCCCAATCAAAGAGTTTCTTTTTTCTTTCTGGACTTGCTGCTTAGCACTCCTGATTTCGACCCCCTCTCCAATTCAGCATAGTTCAAATAAGCTCCTCTCATTCCAAGTTCTTCCTCCACCAAAACAATATGAATTTGAGTGTGTTCAACAGATTATTGCTCTTCATTAGACATGTAATAAAACTATTGCAGAGGAGATGTTATGTTACTGCATGCCCCTCCTCAGATTCCTTATGCCCACATTGGTCTCGGTATCAAAATCTTGTATTCTTAGGTATAAAAAAAACTTCCACCATAATTCCTAATCTCCCATCTTGACAAGTTACTAGTTCCGCTTACATTGACACTAAATCACTTTCTCTAAAATTCCATGTTTGGTTTATTGTTTTGCACGAAATTGCATTTTTCGAGTTCTATCTACAATCTTTCCATCGAATTCCAAATACCCATTCCAAGTTTTGAATTTGATAAAAATTTGTATAGACATAATTGGAGGATAGGGTACCATAATGGAGACACACATTTAACCGTGAAACTTCCGCAACTTATACAAGTAGTGACTGACCAACACGCACTAACATTGTCATGATCATTCAAGGAACATGATCATTTTCCTTTTTCTGTACAACATCGAAATCTTCCAAACCTTATTTAGGAGGTCAAAATAAAGGGAAGAGAGAGAGAGAGAGAGAGAAAGGCCAAAGTAAAAGGCCCTACAAAGCTATAATCTACATACAGAACAGGCCAACCCCACGGCCCACACCCTCCGCCCCCAAAACCCAATAAAAAAACTCCCCCGAAAAGTTACGGCCCAATTTGATCGAGCCCAAAACCAAGTATACTTTCCCCACGTCAATGCATAACGGGCTCATCGTCCATATCCTCCATCTCGAACCCTTCCTCCGCCATCCTCTTCTCCTTGTACACATACCACCTCGCGCAAACCAAATACATCAACAGATTCAACCCGCTCAATATCGCCAGCAGCCAGTAGAAATCGAACAGCCTCCCTCGGTTCATATTATCCGCCAGCCACGGACTCTTGATCGTCACCTTGTGCACAATCGACACCAACGACGAGCTCATAAAGAAGCCCAGCGACAACGTGCTCAAAAACAAACCGGTGCTCATCGTCTTCATCCCTTTGGGACACTCCCTCAGGAAAAAATCCAGCTGTCCGATGTACGTAAACGCCTCGCCCGACCCCACGAAGAAAAACTGCGGGACCAGCCAGAAGACGCTGAGCGGGACCGTGGCGTTGGGCTGGTCGAGCAGGCCGTGGGCCTGGGCCGTCCGGATCCGCTTAAGCTCGGTCAGGGCCGCGAAGACCATGGCGACGATGGAGAAGACCAGGCCCACCCCGATGCGCTGGAGCGGGGTGAGCCCGTGCGGGTTTTTGAGGAGGCGGCGGGCGAGGGGCACGATGGCGCGGTCGTAGACGGGGACGGTGAGGAGGATGCTGCCGACGAAGAAGACGGTGAGGGAGGCGGCGGGGATCTCGAAGGAGCCGATGCGGCGGTCCATGGTGGTGGCCTGGGAGACGGAGAAGGTGGTCATTTGGGCGTAGACGGTCCAGAAGATGATGGTGGTGGCCCAGATTGGGAGCATTCGGATCACCATTTTGACTTCCTCCACGTCGGTTAGGGTTGAGAGGTTCCACTTGTTTGCTGACGTGGCGGTGGAGTCGGTGTCCTTGATTGCTGCCCTGTCCAGAAACCTGTACATGGTTGGCCACAAAGAGCGAATAATTGTTAAATATAACATCACATTTTATTTTATGTATTACTAAATATAGTTTGGAACTTTTTTCTTTAAGATTCCAACTAGGGTAGTAACTGAAATATCGTGCTTGTAAATAAACTAACAATTCTGTAAATTATGTTTTGGAGTGTGGGATTAAGCTCTCGTGAACTCGCTATTTTTTTCTTCTTTCTCATCGTACTGTGTTCTATTTGTAGATTGTAGCTAGGTTTTGGAACGAAAACCCAAAAAAGAAACAGATTAATTAGTCTGGTCTTGTGCTAATTAAGCACAAGTGACAAGATGTCGACATGGACGGTTGGTTCCAAGGATGTAGACAATTAGGTAGCTAGTTGGGTTGATTTGGAGAGAAACCAGGGGCCAATAATGTCCCCAAACCACCTTGGGTTGGTGGTAGCTAGGAAGTTAGGAAAGTAATAATGGAAGAGAGAAGAAAACCAGAACACGTGACTCGGCGAAGGGTTAGTAGTTTGGTCGATAGGGTACTTAGTGTGCGACACGTGGACCAAACACAAGCTAATTATAATTAACTTAGGGTACTTAGTGTGCGACAACACAGAAATTAACCTGATAATTAATTAACTAATTTTGTTTGTCCAACTCTAACAGGTGGATAACCAAGAACATCGGCCAATTCATCCTATATATTATATATAACCCTCGTGATTTCCTAGATGATGTCTGCTGGTTATTACTTGGAGCATTTACAGCATGCCATGTGGAATTATATCTCTATACATACAGAGTTTATGGTCAATTTTTCAACGAAAGCAATCGGCCTAAAGATGCGTGCTCGATCTGTCGGCAGCTAAGCTAAGCAAATCACGAGAGGAGGTTTGAAAGAAAGAAAGAAAGAAAGAAAGAGGAGGAGGATATGGTATGTCAAGTTGTTATTTGGTGGCTGTCAATTTTACATGGCCTGTCGATGGAGTTTCGATCCACCTTCATTTTCTTGGGCGGCCAAACGCCAATAATACAAGGGTATAATAATATTCAGAGAAGAAAAGCCGGCCATTGATCCATCTTCACCACCTTAATTAGTTCCTAAAAAACGAGTAGTGGTGCCAGATCGATAATTACTTCATACAATATTTTTTCCTGGTAATATATATTTTATGTGGATCGGAAGAGTGAAGTTTGCGTATCTGTTTCAGAAGGCGGGTCGCGATCCTTAACTAGTCAGCCAAGTGAGGTGACCCAACTTGTTAAGACTAAACGTATATATACATGGCAATGGCAATGACAATGGCATCCCATCCAATTATTAATCTCCCTCAATTATATGAACCTAGTAGGAGTAGTCTAGTTCTAGTTGAAGCTTAATAATGGGTCCGCCGATAGAAACAATATATGATTATTTATGATTATTATTGTTATGTCGATTGATTCACAAAAAATTATTGGTTTTCAAATTTGACGTGGCATTAGGTTGTCTTCTTCTCATAATTCATTACCATGTCCAAAACTCTCAACATTTAAATACTTCGCAATGATTCCGGAACCGGACCCTCATATCCTCATCTCATCCACTAGCTTCAATTAATTCGTGGAATTCAAATATTGTTTTCTAGGAAAATAGTGGCCCTATCTAGGCCATCGATTTTAGGGGTATGTAATCATACAGTTTTTTTGTTATTTTTTTTATAAGAATGATAAAGGTTTTTTTATATATATTAGGTACGAGTTAATAGATTCGAATTTTTGATATTCTAGGTTCAAAACTAGTGTTATTACCATTAGACCAACCCATTGTTCTTGTGTTTGTTATTAAAAAAATTAATTTATATCTGAAATCTGGAATGCAAGTTAGACGTACCTAGATAACGAGAAATTTTACAATGCTATATAGTATTGGAGCTATAGGGTTTTCCCTTTATGGTACAAATTAGAATTGTACATTTACGTTATGGTACAACTTCAGATTGTACATATACTTTGTGTACAAATTCTTTTATGGTACAACTTGAACTTGTACCTTTATGTGATGATACAACTTCAAGTTGTAAAGTTGTATCATAACATAATAATACAAATTGCTTTATGGTACAACCTAAACTTATACATTTAATGTTATGGTACAACTTTAAGTTGTACATTAAAGCACCAATACTATATAGCATAGTAGAAGTGCTTTCTAGATAACCTTACGTCCACGTACTGAATACATACTTGTACATCTCTTTAACCTATGGATTCTTTATCTCTCATGTACTCGGATTCTTTCAACTCAAAGTTAGGATGTTGAAATCATTTTGTTTTATGGGAGAAGTTGGTTATGGTTTTGGATTGCATGTTTGAAATGTTCTTTCATCTACGTGTGGATTTAATGCTTTTTAAGTCTAGCTAGCTAGCTAGCTCCATTGGATTGGAGCCTGGAGGGCTGACGACATAGATTACCCTCCAAATAGCAAAACTCCAAACCAGTATTTTTCACTTTATTTACGTCCTCTCTTTCCAAACATTGTGGATGAAATGACCCCTTTGTAGGCCCACCCCACCCCCACCACACCCTATTTTTCCACATAGCATAGCATTATCAATGTATTATAGTAATATCTAGAGTGCAGGTTAAAAAGTATATAAGAGAGAGAAATAAGATAAGGTTTTTGTTTGATTATTTCCAAACTAACCTGAACTGCTTGCTGTGAGGGAGCTTAGCCTTCTTCTTCTTGCTCCCTTCCTCAATATCCTCCCCATTATACAGCGCCGCCGGATCCGACGGAAGGTCGAGGCCTCTCTTCCTCCACGCGCCGACGTACACCGCCGCGATCTGCGTCAGTGGGCTGCCCGCCAGCCGCTTGAAACGGTACCGTCTGGTCCCGGAAAGGAACACGAACAGGGCCGTCAAGATGGCGCAGGCGCAGATCCCGTAGCCGTACCGCCGGCCCACGTGGTCCTGGATGTAGACCAGCACCGTTACGGCTATGAGCGAGCCGAGGTTGATGAGGAAGAAGAACCAGTTGAAGAATTTGGTCATCTGTTTTTTCTCCTTGCGGTCGGAGTCGTCGAACTGGTCCGACCCGAAACCGGACACGCTGGACTTCAGCCCGCCGGTTCCTAGAGCTGTCATGTATAGGGCGAGGTAGAGGACAAGGAGCTGTGTGTTGTCCGCCGGGACGCATACGGTGTCGTTTTTCTCGCATTTCGGCGGGCGGAGGGACGGGACTATTGTTGAGATCGTCAGAACTGTTATGCCCTGTAACACAAGAAAAGAAATTGTTGTTTAGATTTTACTTATTAATTGATTTGGTTGCAAATTAATTAAATTGTGTGGAAAAAAAATCATAATTAAATTTTGTTTCTATGATGGCCACAGCTCACATTGGACTCTACTCCCCATTACTAGAATCGCGGGTAAGTTCATGAAAGCTAAGCGGGTGATTTGATTTGTATGGAAAGATATAACTAACTTAGTTTGTTAAGTTAAATCAACGTAACAATCACATGGAACATAATGAAATTTTATTAAATACTTTATTGAATGATTGGTGTACCAAACAACCACTCGTCACTGTAAATATCTTATTTACAGTTTTTGCAGGGGAAATTTTAACTATAACTAACTAACGTGGAATTTATTTTAACCGCAGGGCAGGGTATTTACTACTACTACTACTACTGTATCTGTATGCACCGTGACGGTAATTTCCGTTATTTTTCTTACCGTGGCTTGAACGGTTGCAAAGATGGCAATGGTCAGGTACCTGTCAGCCACAAGGGGCAAAAGTTGAAGAAGTTGTTAAAAACGAGGAACGGTAAAAACATGGGGTGGAGAAAGTGAGAAACAGCTGGGAAGAAAATTTCAAGAAGAAACCCAAAAAGTAAATTAATTAGGGACAGACCTGCCGAGGAAAGTGTCGGCGATGAAGCCGCCGAGGAGGCAGAGCATGAAGGAAGTTCCGAGGAAGTTGGTGACGGTGTTGGCGGAGGTGGCATTGCCCAAGTGCATAGTTCCGGTGAGGTAAGTCACCAGATTCACCGCGATCCCCAGCGTCGTCAGCCTCTCGCATGCCTCTCCGCCTGACCAAAAAAAAAAAGAAACAAATAATTAAGACGGTGCTGGGGCAAACGTAAAGAGAGAAATTAATTAAGGAAAAGAGAGTATTATTAAATGTTAGAAAGAAGCAGACCAAGAATCATGGCGGCGCTGGTCCAGCCGCCGGTTTTGGAGCGGGCGGCGGGGCGGCCCTTGTAGTCCCAGGCATCTGGGAGGGTGTCGCTGGCCTGCTGGTTCATACTTCTGTATTAAGAGAGAGTGGGAAAGGGAAGGGAAGGGGTGAGGAGGCAGAGCGGGTTCGAGGTTTGGGACAAATGAATGGGCTGCTGACCTGATTCTGGTTCTGGGCCCTTTTATATAGGCGGAGGAGCTTATGTGGCTGATTGTGAGGCGTCTTTTAAACTAATCGTCTCCTACGAGGGGAAGATCAATTAATGACTAATCACATGATTCTGAATTTCTTTTTCCCCAACATAGAAATTAGTTCAATTAAATAACAGTAAATTACCAACTCAATTATTATACCCTCCAAGACCAAAACAACAACTGATGGAAGCAAATACTACAAATTTAAAAGACGCCAACTTGAATGGAGAAATTGATAAGAGTTTTTACCTGTGTAACAAAAAAAATTCCAATGATATTTTTCAACTGAAGTAGAATGTAAATTTTTGTCTAAAAACAAAATCTTGGTACCAACATGCAAAATGGAAAAAATATAGGTACTTACTTTAATTTGTCAGTTGAATCCAAATATCAATCCAACAATTGAATTTGAATAAAATGAATAGAATTAGCTGGATATTTTTGTTGATGAATTAAATTCTTGAATTTAGATACTAATTGCCACCTTAAAATACATCCACCGGATATCCAACCCAAAAGTCTCTTATGTGAGGAAAATATCTTTAGTTGGCTCCTGAGGGATATTGTGGTACATCGATTGATCGACAGCTTTGAAAATAACTAAAACACCAAACTCAAATCTAAAACATTTCTTAGGTGAAGCCGTGAAGGTGATCAATCCAACCCTTTAAACTATGTAGAAATAAAATAGCTTTCAGATCATTAATTACAATCAAGAAATCCAGCCGGACACGAGCGAGCCAACTCGCTGAGAGAGACCGCCATAAGTACCATTGGGCCAATCAATCATCTAAGCAAAGCTGTTACCCGGCGGTAGCTCATATAAAGGAAGATGATCATCAGTAAATTAAAGCATGATGACCTAGCCCATTTGACCAAGTACCACATCTTTTTTCATTCTACATATCTGTCCAAAAAGCCTTTTTGCTATCCAATTTATGATCAACATATTTCTGTTAGTAAACGGTATATGATCCACTATTGAACCTCTACCAACAACTCGAATTATTGGGATCAACTGGTTCTTGACATGGTATCAGAGCCTTCTGTGACCGTGAGGTCTTCTGTTCGATTCCCGGTGATGTCCGGACCTGTGCCTGTCCAAACTCCAAGCCTATCTGAATGACTTGAGTTTGAAGGGGGGTGTTACTAAACGGTATATGATCCACTATTGAATCTCTCTCAATAACTCGAGTTATTGAGATCAACTGGTTTTTGACAATTTCATAGTCGCTAGTCACAATTGGTTAGTGTAGCACTTCTTAGGGAGTGTGTATGGACCCTTTGAATCTCATGTTCATAATAGTCAAGCCATTGATTACTATCACTCAAATAAAAATGTAAATTAATTATATTCTAGCAAGGATTGGGATATGATTTCCCATTAAGAAATATTGGACCTTTCCATTGCAAAGAAATAGCTGAAAAATTGCATGTCACTCGCACTTTTAGACAAACATCCGACCGATCTTATTGAAATAACCAAATTATTCCAATCATTTGTGCATGTCAATGTGGAATGAGTTGGCCAATGCGCAATTAGCTATAGTTGGTTCACCACGACTTTATTTTTATCCAAGAACGATTTTTATATTAACGCAAGTGGTCCCTGATATTTGAGGTTAATAACAAATCAGCTACTAAACTTTGATTTTGAAAAAAAATAGTCAATTAAAAGTTTGAATATCTAACATATATAATAATCAATTCAATTTTCATTCATCTTCATCATATTTATTGTTCAAACTATATAGATTAGTGCATTTTCAACTCACTCAAATAGTAATAGAAAAAGGCAATATAGATCTGAGTTAGAGTGAGATGACATGTTAAAATCATTTAACCTATATCCATGAACCACTTCCAAATTGCTTTAATCTCTATTTTTTCCATTGTCTCACTTGATAACTAGTTAATTAGAGGATGCAATGATCTTTCTTATTTATTATTATTATTATTATTATTATTATTATTATTAATTTTTATGAATTCATACACTGACTTATACAGTTAAGCACAAAAATTCACAAAAATAAAGAAAACAACTTGTACCTGTTCTCAAGATTCAACAAAAGATTCTTCATAAACCATCCTCTCACTTGATAACTAATTAATTAGAGCATGTAATGATCTTTCTTAATATTAATTTTGGTGAAGTAATACATTGACTTAGACAATTTAAGCGAAAAAATTCACCAAAATAAAGAAAATAATTTTTACTTATTCTCAAGATTCAACAAAAAATTCTTCATAAATCATCCTCTCACTTTATAACCAATTAATTAGAGGATGCAATGATCTTTCTTATTATTAATTTTGGTGAAGTAATACAATAACTTAGACAATTTTACGAAAAAAATCTCAAAAATAGAGGAAATAACTTTTACTCGTTCTCAAGATTCAGCAATTTTTTTTTTTCATAAATCGAACGGATTGACTGATATGTTAGCGACCCAAATTTGCCAATGTTGAATTAGCTATATGATAAATTTTTATTGGATTTTCTTGGCAGCTAGCTGGTGTGTTGTAGTGTAGGAATAATTTAGGTATCCAAATGTAATCTGTATTTCATCTGTGTACTAACCACGACTGGATAATACAATGATGTGTGGCAATTTTATTTCCATAAAAAAAAAAATTCAATTTTTACAGTGTCTTAGTCCACGTGGCAAGGCGAGGGTCTGTAGTAGCTGCTTCTGCACAGCTCTCGCTCGCAGCCATCATATAAATGGACAAAGGTGACATTACATCATTAATATTTTCGATTTGGACGAGAACCTGAAAAAGGAGAAAAAGTGCCAAAACTCACTTTTGCCTTCTCGTGTTACATTAATAGAGTGCTAATCACGAGCACGGGTTAATTAATGCATTTGTCAACGGTCAATTTACACGCACTCTCTTTTTTTGTGTATGAACTTTACACATATTTTTTAATTAATAATGTATGTTTCACAAACAAAATAGAAAATATGATAGAAGTTTTATAAAGTGTTTCGAGTATGGATAGAGATCAATATATGAAATCGGTTGTAAAGTAGAATCGAAATTGGAGGTTTTTTTTGGAGTTGCTATAGCTCATTAACATGATTCAAGTTTGGACGATTTTATTTTTGGTCCTCAATGACGGAAGTTATTCAATCTTCATTTCCATGTAGTCTTGTGGGCAATTTGGACAAAATGGAACAACCAAACTTTCAGAGGTAAGTTTTCATATGCGTCTGGTGTCATGTACAAGATAAGTCTCTTGAGTTCTTCGATTTTTTATTTTTTAAGTGATAGTTCTTGGCTATTAACCTTGGTAGAATCACAGATTTGGAGTATAAATAGAGAGTGGAGTTTCTGTGTATCCCTTGAGATAGCCTGTAGTTTCTTGGTAGTATGGATTATTGAAGGATTAGAATTTTGGGTTTTCTTTGTCGCAATAGATCGGCCTTTTACATTCTAGCCCTCTGAAGGTGAAGCTCATTATTTATCATGAACTTCAATTTTTTTTTATAGAACTTCATTTTTCTGAAATAACTCACTCCTTGTGAGTTACATATTATTGTTAAATTCGATGAAATTTGAGCGTCTAGTTGTGACGTAAACTTTTATTGGCAACCGCTAATTTGATATTGGTAGAACATGTGGATGATTATGATCGTTGCTAAGGGATGAATTGTTCTTAAAATATATCACAAGAGATTTAGGATATGCATTTGGAAGAATCATGCACTTTAAGTGTAATTAGCCAATTTAAATGGTTTGAATGGCTGACCTTTAGTTCAATGATTGTATATTTAATAATCACTTGAATCAAAACCAGCCAATCAACAGTTTCTCCCCAGCCCCTCTAAAGTCTAAACAATTTGTGGACTTATTTCTGAAATATTTCCTTTAAATTGAAAATGCTGATGGATTTATTGCAACATAATTCAGTAGAAGAAGAAAAACAAAACGTTATTGAGCCTCTAATTGGTGCCACTTGCCGATGATTGTGCGGGTAGAAATTATATTAAATTAAACTTATTATTATAAATGGGGCAAGCAGGATAAAACAGGAACCAATTAAACAATAAGCTCATTGGTCGGCCAAATGCTGATGATACATGTTTGCAGTTGATGTTAAGCACAAAATGAATGAATGTTTAATTAATAATCAAGAAGTCCCATATAGAAAGAAAGAACGCTCCTTAGCATGGGTCGGCTGTGTGCTTAATTGTCGATGATTAGTTTCCTAATTGGGAATTCTTGTTTGACAATGGATAGCTTGCATTACTAAAAAACACATAAATACAATGTTCATGATTTAGTAAAATTGAAGTACGAAAATCAAAACCGAATACAACATTGCGAAATGGAAAAAGAGCTTTCTTGTTATCAGGGAACAATTCAAATGAATTGATTCCCCCCGCTTTCTGAACAGAAGAAGAAGACAAACAGAACTTGGAGCGACGTCGTATCAGGCACGACTTGAAGAACAGACCGGAACGACGGCGTCTCACGACAAGCTAAACGAAGACATGGAACGACAACGTCTCAAGACCACTTTGTCAAATTTCGTTTTTACTCCAAATGTTATGTTCTTAGACACTTTTCCATTTATGTCTTGTACTTGCTTCTGGTGCAAGGTTGTCTTGTTCTACAACTTTGATACAGCTATATAAGCTGCCAAGACTAATGAGAGAAATCAGGTTTTCAGTTCTCACTATCACAAATTGTTGTTATGGTATCAGAGCTTTGGTGCTGGAAACCCTAGCCGCCTCTCGGCTCCATGGCTCAAAACGAAGATGCAGCAGCAGCAGCTGCAGAAGCCTCTTCTGCAGCCAGTCTTGACACCATGGCAGATCCTTTCTACCTCCATGGATCTGAACAACCAGGGCTTGTTCTTGTT